AAAGCAAGTGCCAGGATAGGCTCCAAAGCCACACAGAGAAACCCTGTCTTAGAAAAAAGAAGAAGAGGCGGAATCCTGGTGTGGCTGAAAGGACCAGCAACAGATTAGAGTAGTTAGATGAGATGCTTTGTTTATGTACTGAATTGTATATATGTACTGTCTGCCGTAATAGAAATAAATAGAAGAAGAAGAAGAAGAAGAAGAAGAAGAAGAAGAAGAAGAAGAAGAAGAAGAAGAAGAAGAAGAAGAAGAAGAAGAAGGTTTAGGCTCACCTTGAAGGAAGGAAATTACTCTGTGTTGGTTATATGGAAAACTGAAGTATGATTGGGTGCTGGATCCCTTGACTGGTATTTTAATGAACCCTCTCTAGGAAGCAAGGGAGTCGGGTGGAGCCGAAGCTGCAGTAAGGAAAGGAGTCATATTCACTCATAGTAACTGGGTGGCACCATATCCTTCCAGCAAACTGGGCTTATGTGGTGGGAGGGGAAGAGGAAGGGGGAAGTCTATCTAACTTTATCACAGTCACAAAGTCACCTTAGCTGATAGTTTTGTGCTTCTGTCTGCTTGTGTTCGACAGGAGAACAGCACAGAAAGTGCCAGTACCCCTTCTCATTAACAGGACAATTTCTCCTCCCCAAGGCCCTTATCATGTGTAATTTTCTTCATAGTACAACTCAGTATCCAACAAATATATAACATAAATGTCTTTGATGTGCTTGGAATGTGTCTTTCTAAACGCACATATACCCTAGGAGGGACTATCATAACTGGTAGGAAGCTGTGCTAAATCTAAAGCATAATTAACTGTGATTGGTGATAGAGACAAGGCTATGGCTGGCCCAAATATCTCTTCTGGAGTATATTAGCAGGCTGCTCCTGTTTGTTCAGTGAATCTACTAGCAGGCACTCTCTAGTGTTACTTTTCCTGGCATAGCAACATTAAGTGCACAAAAGACTTCTCTAGTAGCTTTCCATGTCTACTCTCAGTAACGCTGGATGAGCTATCTGGGAACTCAGAGAAAGGAGGCAGTATGCAAGTGGCCTTGGGAATAGCATGACTACTAAACAAGCACAGCCACAGGCATTGCCATGTGTCCTGGGGAGGGGTTGATCCCACGGTGCCACATGAATTGAATCACACAGGAGAGTAGCTTGTTAACTGACCATGGGAGTCACACAGCCCCAAAGCTACAGAAACAGATACTACCTGGGGTTGTCCCCAAGGCTGATACCACCAGGCTTCCAGTTTCTAGTGTGTGCTCCTAAACCCTGAGCCTCCTGGCACAAAGTTCTGGCAACTGCAGCTAAGCAGCCAAAGAGGTGGCAGCGCACACAGTCATTTGTGGCTCCCACAGACCAACAGCCACTCATGGCACCTCTACCAGGAGGACGGCTTGCTTTCCTGCCTGGAGATCTGATTCATTCTG